TACTGACTCCAAAGCGTCTTCACTGAATTCGAGTTCGCGGCTTCCTAGCCGACACTTGCGGAGTGGGTTGGATGTGTGGGCGATCTTACCCTGGATCCAACCAAGTGAGGTATACTGGTGACGGTGTGCGTGCGTGCGTGTTACCCCCGAGCTGGGTGGCATATTTGCGCCAGATCTAAGAAGACAAGGCTGGCCCTCTGAACTGTGTGATCTTGAAGCCAGCGCTCGAGGCGGGTCTGAAGCTGTTTTCTCAACTGCCTGTTGGAAGTGGCTAACGGGCTTGTGGCACGAGGGAAAGGGCACCTCTGCGCTCAAAGTCATATGTGCCTGGCATTAACTTGTCCTTCCATTGGCGTGCAGTGGGGAAGAGGAGCGAAAGTGGCTCCGCGACCTTCTCTCAGCTTGCTTGATTTAGTGCGAACTTAACACAAAAGGACGCTTACAATGATGTGGACTGGTGGACTGGCTCCGCACCCAACGTAAGCCATAATAGCGACAGCTACTTGTGTGGTGTCAAGGTTATGTGCATTTTGACTGGTTGTTTTGCGCGTATGGCATGAGGGGGAGGGCTACCCGGTCAACCGCTTCTCCCGGACTCCTTTCCAATCATCTTGATCTCACTGCCATGTGGGGGGACTGCGCAAGTTTCATTCCCTTGGATGATTTGGAGGACAGCAAGGCAGCTGATGCGTTCCATTGGAGCCGCACAGAAGCCCGCTCTGTTTCCTCCGGGCGACGGTGGTCTTCGTCGATTATGACGAAGGAACTGCTGTCGTGGGCGTAATCGGCTGTTAAGGGAATTCCTACTCTATGTTAAGTCTCGTGCAGGGAATGCACTAAATTTACTCACCTTGGTCGACCATTCCTAACCTTTACCCCCTTGGAGGTCACATTTTTTCTGAATTGACGCACTTATGGGCTGCCGTTATTGAAATATTGACCTGTTTTGCTCCAAGGTACTAGGTAAAATATCTTTTCTACCTGCATCCCAAACAGGAACTGCACCAAAGAGGTAAATGGTTCTCTCAATTCTATTTTAACTGTTTCGAGTGAGACTGACGACTGTCTGTTTCTATTTCAGACTGAAGTACTGTCAGTCGTACTAGTGGAGGCATCCTGATTACAGTACTGAATACGCGTGTTCTGTTTTGTTTCGTGGCTTCGCTCTAGAGCCTCCGACGACGATTGCATTGTGATCAGCAACCGATAGTGGAAGGAGGCAGCGGAGACTGGTATGAGCATTCGTGGTGAGCTCTAAGCCTACTGAATAGTTGCTGATATGTCCGTGGATATTCGCATTCTGCATGGGTGCCGGCCCTGTCTGTGGAGTTGTTAAAAATCTCTTCGCGGAGCCCCAAATCTCCAATAGCTTCAACTGCACTTCTATCCATATTCTGGCTAGCCCAAATGTAGTTCCTGAATTATGCCCAAATTCGGTCTGGATCGTACATCTATTAACATAAGAAAAGTCGGTGCTTTTGTCTTAAGACTCAGTTAGGAGGCCACTACACGGTTGGCGTTCTTCATCTCCAAACTGCTCTGAACATGGTCTAATCCGTGAACCATGCGGTTATGTGCAAAATCAATTTTGAAGAGATTACGCAGCATGCAATTTAGAAGTATTTAAAACAGACGCATGTTCCGTCGCAGAAAAAAACTGACTAGTGTTCCATGTGGTTCGGAGTTCACTGTGCGTTATACTGTCCATCCGAGAAAACTTCAGGTAGTGAACGCGTTCTCACTGTACATGTGCGGCAACCCAAGTTATTCCTCGAATACCGGTGTGTCTGATGTTTGCGGTTACTCAATTGTGATGGACAATTCGTGTCACGCTGCTTCTTTGGGAGCTAGTAGATTGTTCAGATTGGCAAAGTTGAGAGATCCGGGTTGATTATTTGAAGAAGAAGAAGAAGAAGAAGGTGGGCTCACCGGAACAGGTTTATTAGGATGCTGACGTTTCGAAGAGCTTGGTCGGCTCTCCATTGTCAAAGCGTAAAATGCACTCAATCCACCAGAGATCCCAAGTGGCGTGTCACGTTGGACGGCCTCGTGCTGGTCGATTTTCTTCTCTCTCCTCTCGCTGCCGCGGCCTATCAGGGGATGGTTGACTGGTGTTTTGTCTGCGTGCATTGTGAGTCACCACTCCGCCGGGGGAAAGATGACTGAACCAGTGTCGGGTGGTCGGTCTGGCGGTTCTTTTTCTTCACCGAGTAAACTCGCCGTCGGGCTGTCTCCGTATGGCCTCCTTAAGCCCGGTGTGGTTGTTTGGTCCTGAGCTCTACGATTGTCATGACGTAGGACTTTGTAGGCTGCAGGAAGGTCCAGATGCCTGTTTATGAAGTGGGCATCGGAGAACCACGCCTCAAGAGTTAGCCGTTCTGCTTTTGTGTTGCCCCGTCCTAAGATGGTAGCTCGCTGGAAATCGAAAGTATGCCCAGTTTCTCCGACGTGTGTCGCTAATTGAGAGTTTGGGTCTAACCTCCTGGTAGCTGATTTGTGCTTTTGTAGGCGAGTCTGCAATTTTCGCCCGGTTTCTCCCACATAGTTGCAGTCGCCCTCTTTACAATTTATTTTGTAGATAACTGCAGAGGTTTCGGCGGGTGACAAGGGGTCCTTAGGTTGCATCATACGGCGTCGAATTGTCGCCTGTGGTCGGTGGGCTATGCCTACTCTGGCCGGTTGTAACAACCGAGAGACCGCCTCAGAGACCCCTTTAACGTAGGGAATGGCCCTCCATACTTCAGGCTGCTGCTCATTTGGCCGTCGTCTGTGCGCCCGACGTCTGCTTCTCTCGATAAAATGTCTGAGGTATCCATTGGCTGCAAATAGGTTCTGAAGATACATTCATTCGGCTCTTTTATCTTCTGGCGTGCTGCAATGTGTTTCGACTCTTTGGAATAGAGTGCGGACACAGCTACGTTTGTGAGACAGAGGATGGTTGCTGTTGAAGTGTAGGATCTGTCTCGTTCAGTGGATTTCCGGAGTACCACGGTTTGCAGTTGTACACCGGCGCACAAGCACGTCAAGGAATGGCAGTTGGTTGTTCGTTTCTCCTTCCATTGTAAATTGGATATCCGGGTCAACCGAGTTCAGTAGTTCCTTTAGGTGCTCAATACCAGTTGTTTTGACAACGACTTAGTCGAAGAGGACGCTGTCACGATGTGTGCTTGCGCGGCATGTGCTTTTCACCAGCATATGGGCTATATTGGCTCACGACATGCGTTTATTTAATTGCGTGCGCGCTTTTAGCTCGTCTTAGGCAGAAAGCGCCAGGCGTTGCGTCCAATATCATCTCTAATCGAATGCCAAGTAAGGGGGGAGGGAGAGAGGGAGGTTCAAGGCCTGCTCTGAGGAGGAATTAATCCTCATTCTAACCCAGCATACTTTTCGCTGTAGCAAGCTTAGTGCCCTCGAACCTATCACAGCACGCTAACGTTCGTGAGTTTGGGGGGGGGAGGCAAACTGACGATTTAAGTCTGTTCCACTCAATACTGAGGGCCAAACAACAAAGATTCCATCTTTTTTCAGCATTTATGACACTCACTTTCGTAAAATTCGAGACCTGGTTAAGATTCGGAACCCGGGGCTAGGGAGCTAGGTGGCGTGTGTCCTCCGTGAACGGCCTGTTTAGCTTTATCAGCCTTTGTGCCCGCTCCTATTTCCAGCTGTCTTAACTTCGCCTTCATCATAAAAAAGGAGGTGGAATGTGGCAAGAGAGCGCGGGGTGAGTCCGTTTCACTTTAAACACATTTAAGCGCAAGTCACTGCTGGGTTGACCTAGTCGCTTGTGATAGCCGACCAAATGCTTTTATTTGCAACTGCATGTTGCTGCTCTCAATGAAACCTGCCTCTCCGGGGAGAAAAAAGCAGTAGAATGAATTAGTCGTCGGCTACACCTTCTTATGGAGCGGACGTCCAAAGACGAAGGGTAACAAGATGCCGGGGTCGTTTTCAGCATCAGAGAAGACGCAGTGAGGCGGCCATTTTACCTCCAGCATAGTATCAGCGACCAGCTTGCTACCGTGCAACCTCCGCTCTGTGCGGCGGAACTTTTCATAAGTCCCTGCACTGCCCAAATGAGAAGTCTAGACGACATGAAGAACAGATTGTACGAAGACATTCAGGCAGTCCTCGCGGTTCTGCTTTAGGAGAACAAATTGCCGATACGTGCAAAAATTGCAAGGTTCAGGAAGTAGTTGAGAAGAGGTAGATGCAGTCGCTGAAGCAACAACTTTGGTCGCCTGACGTTTCAAATGCACGCTCGAGCCCATCATCAGGGAGAGTATCAAATGCACGTAATTCGTACACGGGGCGTTTCCGTATTTATGGGATGCAGTCGCTATGCTATTGCATACCTATGACAATTAACCCTCCCCCCCCTTTATTGAGGACGGCGTCTTCCGGCACGCTAATTGCTTGATGGCTAGCATGCAAGTCGTTAACGCTGGAGTTACAAAATTTCCCTTTGAAGAATTCAAAACGCAATTTGGCGAGCATGCGTCTGGCTGTTGATATAGCTAATCAAAAGCTACAGGCAAGTAGGTTGTCGAATGTTGTGTGGTCGACAAGATAAAGATTCCCAATCAAAATTCAGGGAAGACGGTTGAAGTTGGACAACCTTTACTGCCTGAGGAAGTGCGTACACAAGGGCTCTGTAGGCAGTTGCCGCGAACGCGCTCCAAGCAAGCTGTTGTCTGTGTGTCCGCCTTCGGGGTGTTCTGTCCGCGCGTGTCTGCGCCCTTCGTTGTCTCCACGTCGCCAGCCAATCAGAGTGGGGACAGCGATGATTGGCTTCGAGCACTCGCGCGTCCCAGCAGCGTATCGACAAGAACTATGAGGCGGACAGGACGGCAGCATGACACAGGCGGAGGGCGAGGAGACGCGAACTGCCACAGTACCCCCCGGCTAGACCGAAGGCGGCGCGTAGCGATGCCGAAGGAACTGTTAATGTCTAAAAAACATGAGTAACTAAACGGTCAGGAAGGTGAACATGGCGTCCACTACGGGTGATATATACAGGGGGCACAGGAGTAGAGTGAGTATGGCTCGCGATTACAGTGTTGTTGGTTGATGAAGGAGTAGTTGCAGTTGTGGGTTGCGGACATAGGGGCAAAGGAAGTATACTGGACGGAGGGGTAGAGGGCAAGGGAGGGGAAGGGTGAGTAAGTGGGCAGGGCGAATGAGCAGGGGATAGGGAAGATTTCAGGAACAGGGGTTAGAGGGTCAGCACATTTTGGTCTTTTGTACGGGTCCGGCGGCTCCTCTGCAACAGCAGCCTTGACCCGATCGACACTGACCACGTCCTCCTTGTCACTGCGAAGAATCCGGAAGGTCTCGGTGTTGCGCGCGAGCACGCGGAACGGTCCTTCGTATGGTGATTCCAGCGGCTGGCGCACACGGTCATACCGGACGAGCACATGAGTACACTTGTCCAAGTCTTTTTCGACATAAGACTCAGTCATTGAAGCTCGAGGTGGAACCGGGGAAAGCGAGCGCATAAATTGCCGCAAACGGTGCAAAAGATTGTCAGGAGTCTCGTCGGCGCCACGAGAGGTTGGAGTGATCATCTCGCCTGGCAGTGGGAGTGTAGTGCCGAAAACTAATTCAGCTGCGCGGATGTCGCGGGATACAAGAGGAAGGTTGTCCGACCAGTTCCCTGGGTCTTCTACGGCACGCAGGGCGGTCTTTAGCTGACGATGGAAACGTTCCACCATACCGTTGGCAGCTGGGTGGTAGGCTGTCGTCCGAATGCGTGTGCAGCCAAGGAAATTAAGTAGCGTTTGGAAGAGTGCCGACTCAAACTGGGCAACACGATCAGTCGTAACCGTGGATGGGGCACCGAACATGGCGATCCAACGACTGACGAAGGCCTTCACGATGGTTTCAGCCTGAACATTCGGCAAAGGAATAGCTTCAGCCGAGCGAGTATATCGATCGACACAGGTAAGGAGGTGAGTGAAACCACTGGATGGAGGCAAGGGACCTACGACATCCAGGTGCACATGGCTGAACCGTGCGTCGGGACTGGGGAAAGTGCCTGGTGGGGACTTTTTGTGACGCTGTAAATTGTTGAGCTGGCAGCTCAGACACGACCGAGCCCAAGCTTTGACGTCCTTCTTCATGCCAGGCCAGACAAACCTTTCTGCAAGGAGCTTTTGAGGGGCTCGGATCCCTGGGTGGGAGAGTCCATGCAAAGTTTGAAATACAGCTCGACGCATCGAGGCGGGCACAAAAGAGCGGTGAAAGGGAGTTGAGACGTCACAAAGTATGGTACCAGAGCCAGTGATCAGAGGAACGTCTTTGAGTAGAAGACCACCAACAGACTCGTCACCAGGACAACCGACTCGCTGTTGCTCAGCCGCCATGGCACAAAGATCGATCCCGTGTAAGAGTTGGAGGGAAGACAGTGAGGGTCTGGACAGCATATCAGCCACCTCATTCTTCGTGCCATCAATGTGGCGGACGTCGGTGGTGAGTTGAGAGATGTAGTCCAGGTGGGCGATTTCCCTCGGATTGTACTTGTCGGAGTGGGAACGAAGTGCAAAAGTCAACGGTTTGTGGTCAGTGAAGACAGTGAGGTCACGACCTTCAAGGAAATGACGGAAATGCTTCTCAGCCAGGTAACTGGCCAAAGGTGCTGTAGCGTGTCACAGCTGGTAAGAGCTTTTTGGAGAAAAAGGCAAGTGGTTGAGTCGAACCAGCAAGGTGTTGTTGAAGGACTGCACCAACGGCTACGGTCGAAGTATCTACCATCAGAGACAGCTGAGCTTCGGGAACGGGATGCGTGAGTAAGGTGGCATCGGCAAGAGAATTCTTGATTCTCTCTAAAGCAGTTAGTGCTTCACGAGTCAGCTCGAGGGGGCCTTTGGGACCAGTTAGCATGTTGGTGAGCGGCAGCATGAGGTCAGCACAGTTCGGTAGGAACCGACGGTAAAAATTGACCATGCCGAGGAATCGCTGCAACTGTCGCTTCGAAGTTGGTGGAGGGAAATTGCGACCAGCTTGGGGTGCTTGTGACCAAGACGATGTATGATGCACTTACTTGGAAAGCCAGTTGCCTTGTCGTGTCCATGAAAGGGCTGTGACTGTAGACCCCGTAGGCATGTAAGCTGAATACTGTGTTACTGGGTAGGTCTGAACGCCAATTTAATGTTGGCAGCTACATCAACTCCAAACTGGAGGACATTGCTTTCCCGGCAAAAAATTGAACGAGACATGGATAGATGGACATGATGAATTTAATGACAAGTTTCGCAACCTCTTATACCTGTCCGGATTGATGGTCCTACTCTGTGTCCTTATTGAACCACTGGCTATATAAATTTTTAATGACCGTTCGCAGATTAATCAGAGGTGAGAAAATTAATGATGTCATTAATCTCTTTAACCTGACAGGGTCAGTTGCATATTTTGTGATTGGGGGAGATGAATTACTCCAAAATTTAACTGGATAAATAAATCGTCTGAACTCGCGAATAGGAAAATCGGAAAGGTTCGCGCTCAGCTTCTCTCAAAGTCTGTAAGTTAGTAATTTTTTTGAGTGACATTCACCTAGAACCCGTAAGTGCTGCACTGCGACTTAAAGCGTAAGGCTCTGCCAATGAAATTAGGCGCGTTTCCAAGTATAACCTGCGCCTCACGACTTTGCCCTACTAATTCCCATCATGAAAGGCGGCGAAACGTTGGTCCCGCTACCTACCGCCATCTGGCGCGTTTATTGACAATGTCACAGGGACAGCCGTGTGAAGTTTTCATCTATAGCCAACTAAAACGAAAAAATGTGTTACCTCTCATCCATAGCTGGTTGCATTTGCTGATCCGCTGATATCGTCTGGGTGCTGTTCTTTAACAGCTGTTACCGCTAACTGAGAAACTAACAGTTGGTTTGGGCGCTCTGGCTTGATGGTGAATGCTGTCGACATATCTCTCTAAGCCATGAAATATAAAATGAATTCCGTAAGGTGTTTGTGGAAGGTTTGCTTCAACAAGTGCTCAAATGTTGTCGGTAGCTGTGTAGAAGGCGACTGTGGCAAAAACATGCAGAATTTAGTGGCGTTATAGAGTTCCTGACCTCGGGTGCAACTGCGAATAGTAATCGCATATTTGTCTGGTTAGTGGTTCAAGAAGGACAACCAATCAGGACACGCACAAGAGGTCACGAGATCTGTTCTGTCATTAAATCAGGCATGTTTGGTTACTTATTCCCTGTTCAAATTTATGCAGGAAAAACCGTGTCTTTAATACGGTATACAAAGCTAGCTCCCCATCAATTGCCATATGTCGTGGTAATTAGAATGCCCACTCAGACGGTAGCCGTTTCCAGTGCCTTGGGTCTGTCCTAGTAAACAATATATTTTCATGTGGGTTCAAAGGTGGGAACGAGGTGGGGTCCGATTTGGGGGTGGAGGTGGCCGCCCTGCGACCCTCCTCCTTCCATGACTTGACTCCCCGAAGATCCTGTTCACACTAGACGTGGAACGACAAATTTCCGTTGAAATCACACATGGTCACGTATTCCAAAACCGTCCAACACAGAAACACCTTGCTGCTTATGCAACGGTTGTCGATGTGACTGCACAAAAAGTGGTATAAGTTGGTTCATTTGATAGCGGTCTCACTTGGGTCATTTTGCTCAACGATAACCTTCAGGCTACCCTGCCGTTGACTGAGAAAGAAGCTATGCAGGTTTACGGTATTTCACAAAAAGGGGGTTTCTCAGTCATCCAACACTGACAGAAAATAGGTAAGTCAGTGAAGATCCATATTAATTACTCCTATTCATATAATTGTGGAACTCCCTTTCCCTCCTCGGTCTGAATCACTGGAGAGAAGCTCCCTTAGTCGAGCGGAGCGGTAGGACAGAAAACGGAAATTATTAAGTACTATGCGGCGGCACTCTTGCAGGTGCCGCGATCCTCCCTAGGTTGCTCCACATGCTATACGCATCATTAACAATAAATTCGCCAGTTGTGGCGCGTCACCTCTGTTAATTAATGAAGGTGAGTGTTCCCAAAAGAATTTGAGCATTCCCTGAAGTGAAGTACGTCTCATTAACCTTCTACCGAAATGTCTGGATGTGAACTTGCATGCCACTTGGCTGGGGTCGTTACCACGTCCCTTATAAAGAAATACTAATTAATTTCCTTCATCAGTAGTTAGTTGTATCGTTTTTTATTCCTCCTTGTTGCCGCCTGCGTACTGTTGCCAGACTTCATTTCGTCGACCTTAACGACTGTTACTGCCAGTTGAGGCCTTATATTAAAAAAAACTGTCCCTCCCACGCCTATCTATCCACGTCGAGAGGACGCGGCAATCACTTTAGGTTGGGTCAACAACCTGGACGATGGACGGACACTTGCCGGTGGGGCTAATGATCCCGCGCGTGAATACTCAATTCATGCGTAGGCTACCTCTAAAAGAAACAGCGTAAAACAACTTCATTCACGCGAGTGGTAGGGCATTCCGCATGCTCTCCTGCCCTAAGACACTTCTAAGGTCATAAAATTGCTGAACGAGTCGCTCGTCTCTGTACTTGCAGCGGTGTAGGGTGTAAGACCCCAGCTAACCCCTGGACCGTGTCATGCGTGGAATGGGAATAGAGGAGGTTTTGCGAGTGGGGCAACACGCAGGACGGAGAGCAGTTGAAATGCAGGAGGACACAGAGAATAAATAAGTTTCTGCCTAAAATCTCATCGTGCGCTGTCATTTGGCAAAGAAAACGAGCGCGATACTTGAAAAATAAACAAAAAGCACTTTTCATAAATAATCAATTTTGAATGAAGCGCCGCTGGTAAGTTTACATTTAGTCAGGGAAGCGAGAAAATTCCAAAAGATGGGAACGGTGAATAACAAGTAATGTTTACAGTCACACTAAATTTAAATGTACGTGTTGGAGTTGCCAGTTGCATAGGGTCCTACACCCTATCGCTATCCTTAAAGCTTGCTTAGAAACCAAGGGGCCGGATTTTCGCCCCTTCCTGCCGCAATATGGCAAACACTCTCTGTCCAAATGGACCTGACGTTTTGGAATGCTGACGACTGTGTCCACCTTAACGCATTTTTTATGATGAACCGAGGTCAAAGTACCGCTGGAGGTCAGGAATTCTGCCAGACGTTAGAACATCCGTAAATGTCCACAGTTTTCCCCCAGATGCCGTCCTCACATCGGGCAGTATGGTCACGTCTCTAGAGGTCAGACTAGGGTGAACTGGCGGAGCTCCGAGAGACGCCTGTTCAGAGGTAGGAATCCGAGAGGACGGAACATGAATGTAAAACATTTGCCAGACTGACAGCAGAGTTGGCAAACGAGGGTTTTTGGTACAGTGAGTGACCGATCTCATGAAATGTTGGCTGAAATTCCGAAATGAGTTTTCGATTAGGAAGGATTACTTGGTCGCGGTTGTAATACTGATTATCCTAAGGCATCCTCTTATAACATTTCGGACTCAGAAGAATGTCGGCTTTTAAATGCACTTCTTTTAAATCTCCTGTAGAAAGCGTGCTTGGTAAAAAAATGACTACTTAATTAGCCTGCATTTTTCCCATTGATTTTCGATGGTCTTGCAAATTCAAATATATTTTATAGAAACCATAAACAAAAGTATGCTTTCTTTTAATCAATCAATAGAGAATCACGTCTTCTTTATATTTTATACTTAAGGAAGGAGTATAATTAGGTTTTAAAAAGTTTCTAATTATGAGACTTTTTAAGACCGCGAAATGTCCATTCACATAGCATCGAACCTGGCCGTTTACCACTGCTCCTTATGAAATGTACAACATGGTCCGCATCCATTGCAAAATTTTATAGACTCTGTATGATCTCTGTAATGGCATGGAAAAATATGTGATTTTCTTTATGCGGAACACATGCACCTTGTAGAGTGTAATCACTAAGCGCTAATGCAACGAATGATCAAGCTCCAAATTATTCGGCAATTAGAAAACTTTTTAAAAACCTAATTATACTCCTTCCTTAAGTATAAAATATAAAAAAGACGTGATTCTCTATTGATTGACTAAAAGAAAGCATACTTTTGCTTATGGTTTCTAAAAAATATATTTGAATTTGCAAGACCATCGAAAATCAATGGGAAAATGCAGGCTAATTAAGTAGTCATTTTTTACCGAGCACGCTTTCTACAGAAGATTGAAAAGATATGCATTTAAAAGCCGACATCCTGCCGAGTCCGAAATGCTATAAGAGTATGCCTTAGGATAATCAGTATTACAACCGCGACCAAGTAATCCTTCCTAATTGAAAACGCATTTGAGAATTTTAGCCAACATTTCATGAGATCAGTCACTCACTGTATCAGGAAATCGGTGGCACATCGCGTGTTTGATGGTACGACACTGAAGTAAAGCACCTATGTACATACCGACCTCCTCGATGCGTCTAATCTACCATCTGAGTGCAATTTGCTTAATAACCCATGATTAATAATGGAAATAAGGGTTTTTGATGACGACTATGATGATACTAATGATAGTTATATGAAAATGTCTAAGGAGCACATTTTTAATATGCACAATCTGATGAGTAGGAAAATACTCTTTCCATTGCATAGTAGCACTCAATGTCACGAACATTATTTCATAGAGAGATATCCCCGATACCCAACGGCGTATATGGATGATTTGTAGCTGGACTGCGGTCACTAATAAAGGTAATAAGTCAAAAGTAACAGCTTCCACGGTTTGCGAGCCTCATTATGTTTTCTACGTTTCCCTGATCCGCAGAAAATGAGGCAGACGGATTGAATCAAAGAGAGCAGACGGGGGCAGTTGTCAAACATCGAAGTTAATGCGTGCATGAGAATAAGTAACCCAAGCTAGCGACAAATTCTTGATCTGCAGGGAATTATTTCGGGCGCTTAAATTTGGATTTCAAAACCCCGAAATGGTCTAGTTGGCAGTTACGTAGACGCCTAAATCGTGTTGAG